TTTTTTTTTGTGGACCTAATTTTTCCAGTGCGCTGCGCGCGGTGCTCAATTTGTGCGCAAATCCGCGCACCGAGGTGCGCCGCAACTATGATCCAGATACATACGAAAATTGCACAATGTAGCGCAGCGGAAGACTCAAAGATATGACCTGACCTGTCAGATACTGACGCGACACCCCATCACACACCACACATGTGAGAGAGAGGGGAGGGACTACATACACAGATGAAAGGTCCCTCCTTGATCACACACATGGGGAGATACCACGGATGAGGAGATGGGGGAAGAGGCGAGACAAAGATGGAGATGAGGAAGAAGACCAAAATTGCGATCTATGTCTGCCACAAAAATGTCGAATCAGATCCGTGTCTCGACGTCGCAGGTATGGCCTCCGCCCTTCTCCCTACCTACACCTCTACCTCCTAGCGCAGCGCTGTATCGCACGGCTCCAGCAGCGTGTCGCCCAAGAAGTGAGCTACTCGAACTGTGTGTCTGCCCTGGCCCGGCCCAGCTATATGTAGCGCTGGGCCTTGCTGGTGTGCCTCTGGTCCTGGCCTGAAACAGCCTGTCCGGGTCCCTACCGGACATCCAGGCCATCCCTGCTGATGCAGCAGGGAGTGTCCACTACTGGACGAACACGAACGTGGCCCAAAAGGGCCTGACTGCGAACAAAGAATGCCCAAAACGTGGCCTTTGTCCGAACAGACCGAAAGTCTGTTGGGAAGAACTGCAAGTCCGAAACGATGCATGAACAGATAAAAATAGGATAGCAAATAAATAAATGAATGCTACCTCAAATCGAATCCTGCGGCCCTAAGGCTGGCTGTGGGCCTCCAGGGTGCATGCCTGAATGGTGTGGAAGTGCATGCATAATGAGATGCTCTGTGGTTAAAGAGGACAAAGAAGAAGAAGAAGAAGAAGAAGAAGAAGAAGAAGAAGAAGAAGAAGAAGAAAAGAAGAAGAAGAAGACAGCCACCTCTGCTCTCTCTTTCCGGATATGGCCACTGCGTGAAAGCGCATGCATCATGAGATGCTCTGTGGTTAAAGAAGAAGAAGAAGAAGAAGAAGAAGAAGAAGAAGAAGAAGATGGCGACGACGGCGACTACGGCAACGACGACGACGACGACGATGGAGAAGAAGAAGAATAGACAATGCTTTGTAACTTTGTCTTACACATTAAGTTCATAAATAAAATATTGCAAAATAAATAATAGAACACCTAGTTTCCTCTTGTACGGACTGGCTGAGTGGTGAATTGCTCTGTTGGCTTGACGAGTGTTGAATCTATCTTCTATTCATTGCCACCGACTTTGACTTTGACTTTGCTTCATTTCCTCTTTGACTTCTGGACACAGGGCGTCCACCACTTGAGAGGAAGGAGAATGGGGCCATTCATCATGTACGACCTGCATATTGAGGTGAGCTGTTTTGTTCGTAAATTCTGTTCTTAAAAAAAACTCAAAAAAAGGATTCTGTTTGGAACTTTGGAAAAAAGCAAAGGAATTCTGTGCAAAAACAGAATCCCTACGCAGAAGGGGGGAGGGGGGGGGGGGGGG